TAATTCCTCTTCCAATTTGCTAACCTCTTGGAGAATCTTTCAATTACAGGGTACCAAAAACTCTCAACCATTGGGTTCCCTCCCAGTGGTAGCCCCAAATATTGTAAAGGCCAGCCCCCCACTTCACACCCCAAAATCCTAGCTAGGGAATCCACCTCCTCTCCCCCTAAATTGAGCCCTGCCACACAAATTTTTCCCATGTTCACTTTAAGATTTGACTTCCTTTCAAATTGAAGCACTAGACTCTTTAAGTTCTGTAATTCCCCTTCCTCCCCGTCACAAAACAAGATGGTGTCATCTGCAAATTGTAAGTGTGTGGCCACCACCTCCTCCCTACCAATCCTCCAACCTCTTATCAAATTGTTAGCATCGGCCCTTGAAATCGTGGCACTCAACACATCAGCTACTAGGGTAAAGAGGAATGGGGACAATGGATCTCCTTGCCTAATACCCCTCTTTGCAGGAAAGAAACCCCTARCTACACCATTCAMCAATATTGAGAAATGACATGAAGAAATGCATCCCTTTACCCAACTGCACCATCTCTCCCCAAACCCTCTCYRCTTGAGAACCTCTAGTRAAAAATCCCAGTCCACCATGTCATATGCCTTTTCAAGATCTAATTTGCAAACCAACCCCTTTTCCTTTCTCCTCTAACCTCAACACATTCATTGGCAACAAGTATTCGATCTACAATTTGTCTTCCTTCTACAAAAGCCCCTTGATACGGTGAGATTAGAGACGGGAGGATCTTTTTTAATCTTAGCGCTAGGACCTTAGAGATGATCTTATACATGCTTCCCACCAGGCTTATAGGTCTGAAATCCTTTGGTTGGAGAGTGTCCTTCTTAGGAACGAAGGCAATAAAAGTTGCATTTGCTCCCAAATTAAATTTGTCTCTCTCATAGAACTCTTCAAAAACCTCAAACAAATCCTCTCTAATTATCTTCCAACAATCTTGATAGAAGGCCATTGAAAAACCATCAGGCCCAGGAGCTTTAGTTCAATCCATGGAGAAGATTGCATTTCTCACTTCTTGGACCTCAAATCTTTTTTCCAAAGATTCCAATAAGACACTATTTTCCACCCTCCACTCCAAGTCCTCTAAGCTCTCACTAGGTCTCCCTGGGTTGTCATACGCTAATTTGAAGTGATTAACCAAAGCTTGAGCTATATCATCTTCCCATGTCAGCAATTGCCCATCCCACTCCAATTTTGAAATAGAATTCTTCCTTCTCCCATTTGCCAACGAATGAAAAAACCTTGTATTGATGTCCCCTTCCTTTAGCCATTTGCACCTGGATTTTTGCCTCCAACTTATCTCCTCCTTCCTAAGAAGATCTTCCAGTTCCTATTTCAAATTCCATCTTTCCACCCTACCCTCTTCCYCTAGTCTTCTTTCAGCTTCTAGTCCATCTAGCTCCTGCACTCTCTGACTGATTTCCACTTTGCTCTAATCTACCAAAAACCGCTTTATTCCAAATCTTGAGTCTAGCTTTCAAGAATTGTAGTTTCTTGTAAAACCTATTACCCCTTCCATCGGAATTCCACTTGGTCCACTTCCCACCATTCTTTTACCTTAGCTAGAAACTCTAGATGAAGTAACCACATGTTTTCAAACCTAAAAGGGCACGGGCCTCCATCTAGTCTTTCTTGAGACCTGATTGGGCAATGATCTGAAATAGGTCTCGGCAATGCTGTAACACCTAAAATCCCCCATTCAACTTCCCAATCCACTATAAAGAGGAACCTATCCAATCGACAACAGATAGGGTTTTCTTGGAAGTTTGACCAGGTAAAATTTGCTTGCTGAAGAGGGAGATCCCGCAATGCAAAATTCTCCACAAAGAGATTAAACTTCCTCATGCTAGATGTAATCCTACGACTAGGGTTATTGGACTCGTTCAAGAATCTTATTACGTTGAAATCCCCACCCAAACACCAAGGGCCATCCCACAAACCCCTAACGACTGCTAGTTCTTCCCATAAACCTTCCCTTTCCCTGTAAGAGGTGGAACCATAGACATTAGTTAGCACTCAAGCCCACCCATCTTCCTTTCTCTTCAATTTTATTGACACCGAGAAGTTCCCAATTAATTCTTCTTCACACTCCCAGTCTTCATTTCTCCACAAAGTAATAATTCCCCCTGAAGCTCTCCACGATTGTGCAAAGGCCCAACTCAAATTTCTTGTTGACCAGATGCTCCTCACCCATTTCTTGTCCACCTCAGTCAATTTTGATTATTGTATTAAGACCACATCTAGCTTTTCTCTTCTCAAGAAGTCTTTGATCACTCGCCTTTTCTTTGAACTCCCCAAACCTCTTACGTTCCAGCTTATTAACTTCATGGACAAACATTTCAGGTAGCCCCAACCAATCCACCCTCTTTACTCCTTTTTTCTATCCTATCCCCACTCGCTTTATCATAAACCACCCCACTCTTCAACCTCTCCACCTCACTCAGCTTTTTTTTCCTCTTCTTAGAAAGCTCTCCTACCTTCTTATTAGACTCTTCCACCTTCTCATTTCCTTCTAGTTTTTTACCTGACCCCTTCTTCTTTTTCCGTTGTCCTTTTGATTTTCCACTATATCCACTTTTCTCCACTGTATTTGGGAAATTGAATAATCTCCTCCTCAACCCTAACCTCTTTCACATTCAGCTCCTCTTCCATTCTGATTCTAAATAGTTCCAAAATCAACTCCCAAATTTTGTCCCCAAGTTCTCTCTCTTCTACTTCTGAATTTATCTCCCCCACTACCTCTGTCACTTGTCCTGAATCAAACGAATTGACAGACTTTATAGCTGGGCTAGAATCACCTGTAGGCCAGACACACACAGGACTTGGGGAAACAGAGGTAGTAACCAAAAACTGAACCCGAAAACAATCCAAACCTTGGGAGGAAGAAGACGCAATATGAGTTGCTGGAATAGCCTGAACCCCTTTTGTTTGACTTTCGCTGGGAATAGGACCCTCGAAATCAAGATCTGGATTGATTGCAGTGGGAAACGGGCAGTTTATAGCTCTGCTTGGAGGAACCAGATTGCCAACACACACCGTACAAGCACCCATTTCCTGGTCTTTACAAAAGATTGAATCCCCCTTTCTCCCTGTTTCGGCTTTCTCCTCACCCGAGTCTGTCTTCTTTCTTTCCAACTCCTTTCTAGGCCGAACCAACTCTCCTGGAAGTGTACAAGCCTCTCTTTAATCCTAGGTCATCTTCCTCCCCAAACCTTACTACCATAGCTGGACTCTTCAACATACAACTCCTCTTTCAGAGACTCATCATCTACACTTACCCAGTCTGAAGCAGAATCCTCCTCTTCTAACCTCGTGCGATTATATCTCGGATTAGGTTTATCTGGGCTATTGGAGTAAGAGACCAGTCTTGGCTGCCACGCTAAAGTCGGACCAGACATTCGTTTTTCTTTCGAGCCAGTTGCAGACCAATCTGAAGAGGACGAAGATATACCACAGCGAATGTCCATAGTCTTTTGAGCCTTGTTCCACCTCACGTGCCTATTTAAGTGGTCACCTGATTTATCTATGGGCTTAGAGTCTTATTTCCAGGACCATCCACTTGAAGTTTAAGACTGGGCCCACCAGTACCCCTCACCTCAACCGTTGGCCCATCTTTATAATTTTGAACCTGACCCAGTCTTTTTAAAAGTTTAGTATTGGTTCCCTCACTGCAGGCCTGGGCCATATCAAATGACAACCCACCTGCTTCCTGTTCCAATCTACCTCCACCTGTTCCCACCTTTGGACACTTGTTCAAATTCAAAAAAGTCTTCTGACAGACTTTCTCCACCTTTGGACGTTACTACCTGAGCAAAAGTCCTAGCCCGATCCTCTGATTTGCCAATTAAAGTGGAAGACTGGGGTACTGCTTTCCTATCCCTTGCTTTTACAGTTTCCTTCCCAGTGTTAACTCGAACCTTGGAGGCCACGTCATCTTCTTCTTCCCCGCTCCTCCCCAATCTCCACCATCTAGCTTCTGTAGATGTTGCAATCCAAACCCTGAGGTCTACATTATCTGAAGTTAATTCCAAAGACCTTGGGATAAGCTCCGGCTTTGCTCCAGCTACATTAATCTGCACGGCACTCAGGTTGGAAGCATCAAAGGAAACCATCTCGCCACCACAATGCTTCGCAACTTTCCTGAATACCTCCATCTTTCATGGATGGAAAGGCAACCCAATAATTTTCAGATTGATAAGTTCTGTGGGTTCTACCAAGTGTACATTGCATAATGGCTTCCATTTCTCCAACACCACCACACCTTGCTCTATTACAGCCGAAACAGTAGCAAAATCCAGAGGAATCCCCTGAAAATACACTACAGCCTTGTGGTCATCAAAGGGAGAAATCTGCAACACCCCTGTAGTCTTCAATATCTGTTGAACTTCTTCACCTAGTCTCTCCCAATCTTTTACTTTCTTGTTTACCGAGAGGACAAGTTTAAGCTGCCAATCCTCTTTAGGTTTGTTCACCCACAATTTCACCAAACCTAGTCCAGCATCAATCTGCAATTTACTTTCCGTCCCTATCTCCTCCTCTCCTGGGATCTCCCTGAAAACCTTCCCTGACTGCCCTTCAGATTGTTCCTTTATTTTTTGACCATCTTTTAGGGCACCTTCTCTGTCATTAGTTACCACCATAAACTCCTGAATTGCTTCTGCTAACTGGTCCCATCCCGAGGCCTCCCTTCCTTCAGGGAAACAGGTAAACTGCTTCAGCCCCTCACCAAAGTGTTCCTGCTCTCGCAAAAATCTTCCGTGCTTGTTCTCTTTTCTTTCAGCTACGTACTTCCTGTTCTGTTCCAATAGACAGCACCTCCATTCCCTTGATTTTTCTGTTATTTTAGCTCCATCGAGAACTCCTTGGAACCATGGTACCGCCCTTCCTTCGAGAAGCAAAGAAGCTTTCCTCGATTCTACAATCTTTAGCGAGAGTTCATTTCTAGTCCAGATTTCTTCCAAGATGAAAGTCTTCGCTTCCACCTTCAACACTTTCTTCCATCTTTTAGCTCGCAGGAACTGACCTTCCCTCCCTCTTTCCAATCTTCCCCCGCTGACCTTCCCTCCCTTCATGGCTTAATTTTACTTATGATCCGAGGGTAGTATCACTGTTGTCTTGTGCATATTAATAGCAGACTTGCAGTTGCCTCTATCTGCCTTAGCACCTATTGAGCTCTGATCCTTAACCACAAAATATATTGAACTTAACCAAAATCATAAAAATCTCTTGTACTACAGGCCAAAATTTCAAGTCTATGGCACTGTCTCCAAATCCTCAATGTGTGCTTCTCAACAGATTTTTAAGAGGTATTAGTGTAAAGGCCTCAACCTCCTATAGGATTAGGAATGCAAAATGTCTAATATCACACTAGCCACTTAAAGTAATGCAATTAGGAGATAGACAAGAATATTTTAATTTCACGTGTTGGATGCTTGAAGCATTTTAGCACAATCTAAATTTGTTTGCTTTTACTTTTACTTTGAATTTGTTTTATATGTTATGCTTAGGTATTTTATCTTGTGCTAAAAAGCTTTTTAAAACATTTGATTTCTTTTAAAATTCAAGTTTTCATATTTTTATGTATTAATGTCTATTTATTTATTTTAAGAATTTGCACATTGCTTTGCACTGTTGTGTGCCTCGGGTGCTAGAAAGCCCTTCCACTTTTCTTGTGCTTTAACACTTTTAAACTACTAGGTAAATGTAACATAAAATTGTTAGAAACACTTTAGGAAATATGTTCTAAGTCTGAAATTTAAAAGGTGTGCCTAGGCACATTTGTCTTGTCCCAGGTACTACTCCTTTGAAAGACATGTGCCTGGTACACTTAGTGGTGAACTTGGTGCACCTTGCTCCTAAGCCCAGGTGTATGCCTAAGTCCAATCTTGTGCTTTTCTAGCATAGTAGCCCTCAGACCCCTAATCAAGCCCCTTGGGCCAAGCCTATACAAGTTCTCGTGGAGGTCCTAAAATATATGAAGAGATTGAATTTGTGATTGTAGTTGCATTTCATTATATTTTAGGATTAGGATTCAAATAGTTTGATGAAAAATGTCTTATATGATCCCCCCCCCTCTGGCGAGCAAAAGCTCTAAGTTGTTAACTTGTCTATTTTCAGGGAGACTTCTTGCATCATAAAGAGCTGAAGGCAGCACAGGGTATCAAGATTTCTGCACAGGTGGGAATAGTATCAACAATGTTTTCTGAAAATGCACTTCTACAATCCCATGACCCCAGATAGGGACCAACATTGGGTGTATAGAGAAAGAGTTTTTGTGCAACTATCTGACATTTTCTCTTTGTATGTTTGCTTGCAGGGCCTTGAACATGCCATTGCAGGCACTGGCCTATATGTGGTAGGGCCTCAGGATGACCTGGAAGATATCAAAGAGGCAGCCATGCAAGATATGAGGTCAGTCATGAGCAGAATTGACAAGAGTGGTGAGGGTGTCTGTGTACAAGCCTCTACTCTTGGATCATTGGAAGCATTGTTGGAGTTCTTAAAGAGCCCAGCAGTGAATATACCTGTCAGTGGTATAAGCATAGGCCCTGTACACAAGAGGGATGTTATGAGGGCCAGTGTCATGCTTGAGAGGAAAAAGGAATATGCTACAATCTTAGCATTCGATGTCAAAGTAACACCTGAGGCTCGTGAGCTTGCAGATGAAACCGGTGTTAAGATATTTATAGCTGATATAATTTATCACTTGTTCGATCAGTTCAAGGCTTACATTGACAATCTCAAGGAAGAAAAGAAGAAAGAAGCTGCTGAAGAAGCAGTCTTCCCATGTGTTCTTAAGTTAATTCCTAACTGCATTTTCAACAAGAAGGATCCAATTGTTTTGGGGGTTGATGTTCTTGAAGGCATTGCTAGGGTATTGTATTTCTTTGCTTCATCTTTACTGTTTCCACCGAACTCGCTGTTTCGGGAGTGTGAAGCCTTGTACTTTTTAGATGTTTTTCATGTCCATAATATAATTCTAAATATGCTGCATTTTACTCAGGTTGGGACTCCAATCTGTATTCCTTCAAGGGATTTCATTGACATTGGAAGGATTGCATCCATTGAAATCAACCACAAACAGGTTGATGTAGCCAAGAAAGGCCAGAAGGTGGCCATAAAGGTAAAGGGTGATGCAATGGAATCACAAATGATCCCAAGTGTTGTAAAGTTGGTTACAGAAGTCGATTATCCTGGATGTAATTTGCTTCTGTTGTTCTTTACAGATTGCTAGCACAAATCCTGAGGAGCAGCAAAAGATGTATGGAAGGCACTTTGAGGAGAATGATGAGCTTGTTAGCCACATCACAAGGAGGTCCATAGATGTGCTAAAAGCTAATTATCGGGTAATCTCAATAAATTCTTGTAGGTATTCCTTTTCTCACAGATTAATGAACAATGACAATGGAGATAAAGTGTTTTTTGTTGCCTGTCCCGACTTTTACAGGATGATCTCTCTATTGAGGAGTGGAGGCTAGTTGTGAAACTCAAGAATATATTCAGAATACAATAATTTACAAAGTGGTCACAATATTCAACTGGCTGCGCTGGCAGATGTGTGGGAATGACTGGTTGTAACCATCTCTCTTCCAAAAATGCAGGTTCTGATGTAGAGGTTGAAGAGAGTTGGTTCATGATGAACTGTATTTTTGGAGCTCTAGACTGGTATTCTTTTCAGAAGATATTTTCAACATGAGAAAAGAAGTTGCGGAAAAGAGCTTCTGGTGCAAAGCATTTTGGGAGGGGGGACACCCTTGTCTCCATTGGGCTGGAAATTGGCCTTTTTCTGCTGTTTTCAACTACCAAATTAATATCCTTAACTCTATGTGGCGCCACAGAAGGTATGGGGGAGATATTACTTTTGTTCTGAGGTAATAGCTCACCTGTAGGCTGTAAAAGTTGGGAAATTGGAAACTGTTTAGAGATTTGAAATTTATCTTCAAGATAAATTTTCTGCCATTTCAAGTTTCTGGAATACATAAGAACATTGTCAGTGATTGTTTTCATTGCAGGTTTGGTCGCAGGATATGGATATCTTTCACTAAAACAAGAAGGGCTTTTCTATCCCCATTTTCAATCCTTTCTTTAACTTTGCTGCTCCTACATAAGTTGCACTACAAACCATTTTTCTGGAAGGAATTAAAGATCTCTTTGGTTGATTGTTTTCTGACAAGTATTAAAGAGTTATGGGGTTTGTTTTTGGTTCATGAGATGAGTTCATCCCTCTTGTAATAAAATTAGCCGAGTTATTTAGTCTTTACTCTCTTCACACACATACAGTAGTTCCACCTTATGAACATGCATTTCCTGACCTTTGAAAAAAAATAAATAAATGACATGATTAGTTTGGCTCCAAAATGTAGCAACTAGTAAATGGTACATATTGATTGTTTTCCACGTTTCTTCCTCCAAAACTCCATCCTTTCAATCTAGTTGTCCTAATTCAAAGAAAAAAGTGCTATTAATTTCTTTTCTTGATCCAAAGTTATTATTTATTTGAACTTTTTGTGTGGATTAGTTTCTTTTTGGTTCTGTTTTTGTTTATGTTGTATTAGTTCTATTTTTTTTTCTTGCACTTATATTTATCTATGTAGTGAGAAAAAAAAATGAAAAATAGGTTTGTTGTTCATCTTATCATTGTTAAGGTGTTGCCTTGTTATATACCTTTTTCAGAGATGAAAACTGATATGTAAACTCCCTCAAGCAATAACGCCGGAGCGCCGCTCAAAGAGGGGTCCCCACTGAAGATGAATTTGCCCTTTCTTATTGGTTTATCTTACTTATATAGGCTCGTGGCCGTTGCAAGTAAATGATTTGCAATAATTACAATTACTGAACATGATGGCAATGATTCTCCAGTCTTTCTAATCAACTCTAACGGTCTCCAGGAGTGCCCATGGCTTTTACATAAATACCTATGCCAGTCCCGTACACGTCAGCCGTGGTAGGGGTTGAAAGATTTTCATCCCGCTGGAACATTAAGGCTTGTAACATGCCTTTTATTGTTGAGGAAGATATTATCCACAAAATTAGAGCAAGATGAGCAAAATGGAGGGGTGAGTCTAATCTAGAAAACAGTTGTAAGGCCAACAATGTTGTATGGAATAGAATGCTGAGCAGTTTAGAGACGTGTTCAAAAAATGAGTATGGTGAAAATGCAAAGGTTAAGATGGATGATTGGAAAAAGTAGAAATGAAATAGGATCAGAAATAAACTCGTGCCAAGGAACCTAGGAATAGGTTCAATGGGAGAAAGTAGACATGGGTGGTTTGTTCATGTGGGCTAGGGTTAGACAAAAAAGGACATGGGTTGATATAGACATAGTAAGAAATGATTTTAGGGAAGGTTGTAGATTAGTAGTACCCTGTACTTTGGGTCTAGTATCATTTTGGTTTTAGAACTTTAAAGTGTGTCAATCTAATACTTAAACTTTCAATACGTGCCAATTTAGTATCTACCATTAACTAGCTGTCAGTTACGTGTATGTGTAACTTAAAATTTTTGACAATATCAAAATTATTCTTTGAGAAAAATAAACTGAAGTTGAAATAGAGGTGTAAGTTTTGGGTACAGTTTTGCAAGGGACTGCTAATGATCCAGCTCCACAAAAACCAAAATGACTCCCCTCGAATCCATCAACAGCAGCAGGGTCCCTTTCATGCATCAGTGTTTCTATTAAAACCAGAAAATAAGCATAAAATACCTTGACATCATGTGCGACTTAAATCCACAAAAACCAAACTGACTCCCCTCAAATCCATCAACTGCAGCAGGGTCCCTTTCATGCATCGGTGTTTCTATTAAAACCAGAAAATAAGCATAAAATACCTGCATGTTGTTATGGATTTGTTCTGTTCTTGCGTGTGACTTCCGAGACCTGCGGTTCCAGAGTCCCATCAGCAATTCAGTACTCTTCACCACAAATTAAGTAATCAGTTGATGAGAATGAATAACGCATCAGGGAATGGATTAGGGGCTGTCCTAATGCAAGAACAAAAACCTCTTGCTTATTTCAGCATCGCCTTGAAAGGAAAACACCTGTTGCTGTCCACTTATGAAAATGAACTTATGGCATTGGTTCTCGCAGTAAAAAAAATGGTGACCTTACTTGCTTGGACGTCACTTTGTGGTTCGAACTGATCAACACAGCCTCAAATTCCTTTGGGAACAATGAATAATGACAGAACCACAACAAAAATGGCTGTTCAAATTAATGGGTTATGATTTTTCCATCGAATACAAAAAGGGCAAGAATAATGTGGCAGCAGATGCTCTCTCAAGAAGAGAAACACATGGGGAGTTCAATGCAGTCTCTAGCCCCCTTCCTCAATGGCTGGAGTTCATTAAGGGCGAGAACTAGTCACACCCGGAGCTGCAATGAATTCATCACTTATATGAGCAAGGAGAAGCTATTGGGCCATGGGAAAATCGACATGGCGTAATGTTCTTTAAGGGACGTATCTATCTTCCATCAAACTCAGAACTCATCCCAATCATTCTCTAGGAAATCCATGGTGCCGGACATGAAGGACTTTACAAAACTCTTCATCGCGTAAAAGCGATATTCTATTGGAGGCAGATGAAGAAAGTTGTACTGGATTACATCAAGCAATGTGATGTATGTTAAAGCCATAAGATAGATCATCAGAAACCAGCTGGACATCTCCAACCATTGCCTATCCCTACACAGGTATGGGTCGACATCTCTATGGATTTTATTGATGGCCTTCCCCCATCTAAGGGGAAGACGGTCCTCTTTGTGGTGGTAGATCATCTGTCCAAATACGCACACTTTATTCCAATGTCTCACCCATACACTGCACCAAAAGTGGCCCAAATATTCTTTGAAAATGTGTTCAAACTCCATGGCATGCTGAGTTCAATAGTATGTGATCGAGACTCCACTTTTATAAGTGCTTTTTGGAAAGAGCTTTTCAAATTGCAGGGGACTAGTTTCAACTTCAGTTCATCTTATCACCCCCAAACAGATGGCCAAACAGAGGCAGTAAATCGAACTCTTGAGATGTACCTGCGTTGCTTTACTAGTTCAAGACCCAAGGAGTGGGTCCAATGGGTTCCTTGGGCTGAGTTCTGTTACAACACTAGCCTATATGCTTCTACTCGCAAAACTCCCTTTGAGGTGGTGTATGGAAGAGAGCCCCTCAATTTGCTTTCCTATGTTCCGGGTACGTCAAAGGTCGGGGCTGTAGATGACATGCTCCAAGCAAGAGATCAAGTGGTGAAAGACCTAAGAAGCCAATTACAACAAGCACAAGCTAGAATGAAGGCTGCTTATGATCAAGGAAGAGTCGAGAGAGAATTTGATGTGGGTGACTGGGTATATCTGAGATTACAACCTTATCAGAAAACTTCGTTGGCACTGAGAAGATCACATAAACTATCCCTGCGATTTTATGGGCCATACCGGGTGCTGGAACGGATTGGTTCGGTGGCTTATCGGCTTGATCTTCCGCCAGGAAGTAAGATTCACCCAGTTTTCCATGTGTCACTCTTAAAGAAACAACTAGGTACAACTGATAAAATTGGTTCTTCTCTTCCATTAGTATCAGAAACATCAGGTCACCTACAACCTCAGCCAATAGCAGTTCTAAACTCTCGAGGCAAAGGGAATAAACGTGAACTACTTATACAATGGCAGGGGCTTCCAACAACCGATGCTACTTGGGAGGATGAGATTAAACTTCGAGAGGAATTCCCAAACTTTATGTGTCATTGAGGACAAGGACGTTTCCACGGGGAAAGGATTGTCATGTGCAGCAATTTACCCAGCCCAAAATAACTAGTTGTAGCGAGTTAGAGAGTTACTATTTCTTTTAGTCTCTATTTTCTTTTAGCAGTTGCTATTTTCTACTATTTAGCAGTTGCTATTTCCTAGTAGCTGCTATTTTCTGGAATTTCTATTTCTTTTAGTTTCTATTTCCCAGAAGTTGTTTTCTTTTAGTGGTTACTATTTTTTGTAGTTGCTAAGTTTGTTAGGCCTGTAAGCTATAAATATCAATGTTCTCAAGTAATGAAGAGGAGTAATGTTATGGTCCCGCACATAGGATCCCGTCACGGGTCGGTCCACGGTGCGAAAGCCCCCTGCTTCCCCTTGCGCCTTCCCTTGCTTACAGACCCTATTACGGAAACCCAATGGGTGATTTGTCCAAGAGACCACCCGAACTCTCCTCACTCTTTTCGTGGCTGGAAAA